CTTCGTATAGCATACCTTGGAAAGAAGTTCTTTGCACGTTACCGATTGTGTCAAAAATCATTAAAAAGGATAAAAGGATAAAGCATTTGCCGTTGATCAATCCCTTTTGGGATGCGGCACGCATTCTACTTCCATTTGTACATTCGTAGTGGCGTTTGAATGCGATGTGGCCTATACAATGACTTGCGGGGGCCAGCCGATGTACAAGTCAGTGTTTTTATCCTCCCAGACAAGTCTGGTACCAATTAACCGACCCCGGAGGGATGGAAGGCTTGGTTGGCCCGGGCGACTCACGACCCAGGATTTGATCCCCGGACCGCTCGCGTGGTAAGCGTGCCACTTGCCACTACACCACTTCCGCCCTTCGAGTACAAGCTCTAAGGTATTTCCGTTCACCTAGCTCTTTTCTCGAAAAGGATTATCGGAATGAGTTATTGAGTATTTCGCAGGTATTGGATGGACCATGGCAATCACGTCCCTCACAATATGCATGTACTACTCGGTGGTTGTCAGCTGGAGTGGCATATATTTCGTCCTTTATCTTATTGGCAAACACGAACAATGGGATGGTTGTGACAACGAGTGGAATGACATATGTGAGGCCAGACTCTTTTATCTGGTAGTAGTGAGGTGTATGCACCTTTATAGGGCTTGTACATACGATGTGACATGCTGAAAAAAAAGTTGTAAACTTCAGCATTGTTTAGAAACTGTTGCAGTGGAGTGTGGGTCAGGAGATTCAGACTGCAGCGGCTCGACGCTTGTGGGGTAGCCGACAGAAGGCCCGTCGCGCGGCGACAAGGCAGAGAAGCGACTGGTCAGCGAACGAGTCACAGCGCGCTTGAGCAGTGTGGGACGTGCTATAGTACATCTTATTCAACTTGACGTTAGAATACGCGCTGCGACTCGTCCGCTGACCCGTGTGCGTCTCTGCCTTCTCGCCGTGCGGCAAGCCTCTTGTCGGGCACCCCGCATCACAAGCGACATCGCGCGAGCAGCGGCTTGGCTTCGCACCACCTGAGGACCTCCTGTCTCGCACCCAGTGCATGATAGAAGGTAGAAGCATAAACACAGAGCTCAGCCCCGTAAGTTAGACCAATCAATGAAGGGAGGGT